ATCAGCTCTATCAACTAGGGATGAGATTTTGGCAGGAGAATTGGGAATCGGTGGAGTCATGCCTTGTTCCAAAGGAAGTAAAAAAAAAATGAACATACACAGCCTCAACTAGAATTCTCCAGACTTTCTAATGTTCTATTTTTGTCACATTCTACTTTTGCAAAAAAAAGGCCCAAGAGCCACTCAAGATAGAGGGTCACTGAAAGAGGTCTCATGGCTGTAAGAAGAGGATGTGGAAATGCAGCTCTAGAGTCAACCATTAAAAAGTGTATGTGGCCTTGTGGGTGATGAATTATTTTCCATACTACAACCACTTTCCCCAGAAACATTGCAAGCCTCTCGCTACTTTATTGCTATTTCCATGGAAAGTGTTATGGAAACTCTTTTTAATGTAGTTGTTCCCAGTAAGCTGTATTTAAAATTTGCAGCTAAACAAGAGTGTTATAGAATCAAAAGATACAAGTAGTCCACAGATGGTGTCAATGCTATTTCCATGCCAAGTATTCTAACAAGTTACATTCCTTGGTTCCACTAGCCCTGACCTTTGCTGCTGGAATCCACTGTGCCATGTATACGAGGGTAAGTCATCCCCATTCCATTCATATTCCATTAGTAAGGAAGAAGTTCCACTTAGGCATCTGCTTTTCAAGAATTACTCTTTGTGGAATAGCATGATGTTTTTCTGAGCACGTCAATCTTCTAGCGTCTAGGGTTAACCATTATCTTTTCTACATATTCTCATAAACTTGACTTCTTGCCTTCTCTTATGATCATACAACACTATAGATGAACCCTCTACCTTGAGTGACTCTTGGAAATTCTACTGGGTGAATATTAAATCTGAGTGAGATTATTCTGCTTGTATGACTTATGCAATTTTACCTTGGATGCAACTATCCTGTCACAGGTCCATCTGAGATGGAATTAATTATAATTTGAGATTTAGAAATCTATAGAACATATGATATTAATATAATATTAATAAAACATAATATTAATATAATATTAATAACACATAATATTAATAACTTAATAAATATAAATATAATATTAATATAATATAATATTAATAAAACATAATATTATTATAATATTAATAAAACATAATATTAATAACATAATATATTAATATAAATATAATATTAATATAATATAAATATAATTTAATATAATATATTAATAAATCATAATATTAATATAATATTAATAACATAATATATTAATATAACTATATTAATATAACATTAATATTAATATATTAATAAAATATTCATAAAGCATGATATTAATATATTAACATAATTTAATATAATATAATATTAATATAATATTAATAAAAACATAATATTAATAAAACATAATATATTAATAAATCATAATATTCATATAACATAATATTAATATAACATAATATATAATATATATATATTAATATAATATTAATAAAATATTAATATAATATTAATAATACATTAATAATATTAATAAAACAATATTAATATAACATATATTAATATAATATAATATTAATACAATATAATGTTAATATAATACAATATTAATATAATAATAGTTAATATAATATTATGCAGGATGGAACTGTAATATAAACTCATAGAGGAGAAGGGAAATGAAAAGTGTGGAGTAAGAAAAGTAGTGGATAAAAAATACATGCGATAGAGAGACAGAGACCAAGTGGAGATAGTGATGAAAGAAAAACAGAGAGAGACAAACTAGCCAGCTAGATATTAAGTAAAAACAAACAAAAGACTAAAAAAAATGACTATTAGTTTAGGTTGGTTTCATTCCAGGAAATACTAGACGTATTTTAATCAGGAACCTTTGATCTAAGATGATTTTCAATGTATACTGGTTCACCCTAAGAGATACCAAAATAAGTTTTTTACATGGTGTCAACTCAGAACGTCAAAAGATCTAGGTGCCTAGAGAGTTGACCTAGAAGGTGACCTCAAAGCCAGGAAGTGTAGAACTATGCCTTGAAAGATTTTGGGAGTACACTGGCATAAAGAAGGACGTGAACCCTACTGAACTTAGGATATACACATATAAGACAACCAGATAACAGGAAGTTATAATAATGCCCAATCTACGAAGGGAAAGACAGAATCCCTCACATCCTTGCAAGAAGAGTGAATGCTCAGAGAAAGACCTAAAATCCAGTGGTGACTCCGGGGGCCGGACTTGTCGGGCTCAGTCTGAGTGAGTCAATATTCAAGTATATCTATTTCAAAACAACAAAATCTTTCATAGTGCATCATTTTCGTTCTTGACTTCATCTGAATCCAAAATTAATTTTTTTAACTCTGTGCCTCAAAATATCAACAGAAATACATTTCGTTGACATTGTTCTTAATAAAGAGAAAAGAAAGAAGAAAGAAAAAAAAAAACAAAGAAAGAAAGTAAGTAAAAAAGAATGAAATAAGATTTTAAAATCTCTAATGGCTTGTATGCCCTGTTTTTCAAAGAACACATTTTTATTTCAAGTTATTGTTTTCAAATATCCATTTTAAATAATTTATTCCATACAGTTTTTTAGCAGAATATATCAATTGAAAAAGGGAAAATTACATTTAGCACAACTTAAAATCGGCAAAAATCAAAGACAGTGGCAACCTTAGTTCATTGAATGGAGGGTTGGGGTGAGGAGTGTGACTGGGGTAGTGTTGAGGAAATATGATATCAGTCAGCAGTACTGATCATAAACGTACAATAAATCAAACTAAAAATTCACAGATACATAAACTAACACATAGACATATATACAAACACACACTTGAGATAGATACACACAGGTTACTAAAAACAAAAAACATCTGGCTAACTAACCCTAAATACAAAAATGTGTTTGTTTTTGTTATATTTGATGCACAGAACTTTTTTTAAATTATTTTAGTTAGAGTAAAGGAATCATTTCAGCATCTAAGCTATACCAATAGTATATTTTATTAAAGATTGTAATGAGTACAACAAATATTGTTGACCTACAGTTGCCACTACTAATACTATATATTCTTGATTTGGTTGACATTAAATTGACATGTCAATAGTGGATAAACAGTTGTTTTACATATGAAACACTTAGTCTCATATTCTTATAAGACATTGCTACAATTACATTAGCAGCGATAATTGCCAAAATAGACGAAGGTGATACGTTGTTATGACTTTCTGCAAAAGTCATTATTATAATGCATTAATAATTACTATTAAATCACTTTTATTATCAATTCATATTTTTACTAAAGCTATTTTAGAAGATTAATGTTGTGAAATGAAATTCTATTAAGAGGAAGGCAGGGATGGAAAGATGTAAAATCCCAGTATATGAAAATTAGTTAAAGATAGGTTCAGAAAAAGGAAAGTGAAGGAATTCATAAAATAGAAAATATTTATGCATTCCTTCTACACACATGAAAACAAAGTTGTTTGTATAGAAATTATATCAAAAACACGGATGGGCAACAGAAATTAAGAAGGATAAGGAAGCAAATGAGAAGATACAGGCAAAAAAAGAGAAAAAAGCAAAGGCAATAGATAATAATCTGATTTGTAGTGGAAGGAGGGATAAGGAAGCAAATGAGAAGATACAGGCTAAAAGAGAGAAAAGCAAAGGCAATAGATAATAATCTGATTTGTATTGGGGGGAGAGATAAGGAAACAAATGAGAAGATACAGGCTAAAAAGAGATAAAAGCAATAGATAATCAACAATTTTATTTTCCTTGGAAGGGATAAGGAAGCAAATGAGAAGATACAGGCAAAGAATGAGAGAAGAAAAGAGGCATGATATAATGGACAATCTTATTTACATTATTCACAGTTAGAATAATGTCCTCATTTTTATGTTAATATTACAAATGTTTCAGATATTGTGTCTTCTGGTTTTCTTCAAATATCTCTTGATCTGGGAAACTTTTGGGTAATTCTGAACAAAACCCTTTACTCAATCAATAGGGGCAAATTGTTCTCATACTAAAAAGGAACAAGACAAGAAATCCTGAGATATAGAGAGTAGAAGAAAAACTATCTATCCATAAAGATTAACAAAAGGGTTCAGTTTGAAATTCCATGAGGATTACCTGTTTGGGGGTCACCACGACAAAAACAAAGATGGTGATATTATTCCAGCTGTAAATAATGAAAATTCTCGTCACAGAAATTCAGACAGAAATTTTCTAATGGGTAATCTTACTTTTCAACAAGATGTGCGGTTGGTGCAATAGATACTTGCTTGTAATTTGAAATTGGAGAGGCAAATTTGAATTCCACTCAGGTTCATTACATTCACTTATGTGTAAACATCTTTAAGGAAAGAGGATGAATCCATCTCCTCCCCCAACTATGGGTTAAATAGTAGAATGTTTTATCTGGAAATATCATTGTTATTCCCATCAGAATGTTAATGCAATATTAACACAATATTCACTCACAAAAAGAAAAGAATTATCCTTGCAATCCAAAATATTTTTCAGTTTTAAATAACTCACTAAGGGTTGATAAGCCATAAAAAATAAATCAATATTTTTCAATAATTATGGAAGTACTACGGAGCCATCTCACTGACATTTTCACCAAGAAAAGCTATACTTAAAAAAAATGGAGTTGACCATATTCAGGATCATCGTGTCAATGTAAATGATCCTTTCCTTTAGTATAGTATGTGCTTCACCAGGGCTACATACAGTTTTGAATTCAGAGTTTTCCTTTTCCTAGACCAGTTGCCAACCAAGGCTATAGAACCAAGTCTGCCCTACTATTTACCCATAGCTGGGGGAGGGGAGAAGAGTTGGATTCATACCCTTCCAAAGGGTATTAGCACATAAATGAATGCAATGAACTCAACTGCAATTTTAATTTGTCTCTCCAATTTATTAATCGAAGCCGCAATCTATTACCCTACCTTGCCTCCTTAACTTAAAATTTAATACTTAAAACACCAATATTATAGTCTAGTATCAGATATTTTTGCCAAGTTCTTACCCTTATGAAGAGAAAACGAATTCTGGTTTTCCATGTCGGTCATATGGTCTACCATGATTGCAACAGCTTCATTTGCAGACGCAATCTGCAAGTATAAAATGTCAACATTGCACAGTAATTACTCTTAAATATGGCAGTGCCATCTGTAAAAGTCATCAAGCTGTTTTGTTGCTTAAAAATGTGGAGAATTTACATATTTTCAGTGTTCGAAATAACACAATTTTCAAGATTATTTTCAGAAACAAGAAACAAGGAATAATTTTGTAAACACCTTGATGCTAAAAACTTAGCATTCTGAACTCTTTAGGGAAAGAGATACAATATAGTCGGTTATTTGTGGAGTTCAATTTGGGCTTTGTTAGGATTAGCCCACTATAAGGGATGTATGAATGAGTAAATAAAACATGATAAACTACATCTTAAGAACAATCAAGCCTGGAGTATAACAATAATAATTTATAGAAACATTAATAAGTAGTTTCATATTGTACAAAAACAGTAGTAATGTTCATAGATGGCTCAAGGTTGGTATTTATGTAAGATTAGATAAAATGTTGTTTTTTTTTTTGTTATGCATTTCAATGAATACAAAAGTTTGTAAAAGTACTTAAGTGTTTTTGAGAGATGCTAGTTTCCTTTGGTAAGATGTCCTGTGAATAAAATGAGGTAGAATGAATGAGAGAAGTAAGGGGGGGGGGTGATGAAAATGGCGAGGAAAGTGTGAGGAGTGGTAGTGGTTGTTGAAACCAAGATGCCTTTGATGTATCTGCTCACAGTTGTAAGTGTTTGTCTCTGTGTGTCTTCTCTGTGTGTCTCCTTTCGGAATCTCTCAATTTTTTTCTTTTAGACAGGGATCTGTTTATATTGTTAGCAAAGTTGAAAGAGGCTCCAATTAAGTTGTTGATTATTTCAGGCGTTCTCATTTCTTATTGGCCAATATATATATTTATTTAGGATTGTATTTAAGCAATGTCAATTGGAAGTTATGCATGGAGCCTATTGCACAAAGGCCTGAAATATGTCATTATATTATAAGCTACGAAGAAGGTTACTTCCTGTTTCTGCTCTTAGTGTCAATACAATGAAAAGCCCTTCATAGTTATAAACATCTAATGTCTATATTTTTGAATTAAAATGTACAATTATTTGACAATTTTGGGACAGAGATTAAAAAAATATGTTCGGATAATTCAAAATTCTGAATAATTGAATGCCTAAATTATTGAAAAAAAGAATGAAGAAAAAAGTCATTATCTGTCTATATTTCTGAGATTTACATTATTTGGACTACTGTCCTCATCTTTGTCACCATATTTATTAAAACGTTTCGGCCCTTCAGTATCTGTCTATATTTCTGAGATGAGGTATGATGTACACTATTTACATTATTCAGACTATTGTCCTTATCTTTGTTGCCATATTTATTAAAACGTTTCGGCCCTTCAGTATCTGTCTATATTTCTGAGATGAGGTATGATGTACACTATTTACATTATTCAGACTATTGTCCTCATCTTTGTTGCCATATTTATTACGTTTTGGCCGTCGTATGCTCTGGCCTTCTTCAGGGGGTTGGAATGTTGAACTTAACCCTTTATTTCGCTAACTGGGGTAGACTGTTCTAGTTCACATGCCATATTTTTTAATTAATCAGTTATCAGTTATCTCTGTTAATTCCCCTCTGAAAGTTCTCCACTGCCTTAAAGAGTGTGAGTTCAATACACGGTTAAGGCAGTGGAGAACTTTCAGAGGGAAATTAACAGGAGATAAGTGACATCCATTAAAACATGGCACATGGAACTAGAACAGTCTACCCCAGTGAGTGAAATAAAGGGTTAAGTTCGACATTCCAGCCAGCTGAAGAAGACCGGAGAGTACAACAGCCGAGATGTTGTAATAAATATGGCAACAAAGATGAGGACAATAGTCCAAATAATGTAAATAATGTAAAAAAGTCATTTCCTGAAATAAATTTAATATTTTTTATCCTCAAATAACATTTTCAAATGCTATTTTTGAAGGTTTTGTTCAGTTTATTTTTTAGAAAAAAAAAATGTGTCAACTTGGAGGAGAACTATTACTTCATCGAACAGACTGTCAAAAGAATGCTTCCTCAATTATGACAATTTTAACTTCTTCAAGTCTTAGGTCAACTATTGTCTATCCTTCATATCCTGATAATATACACTTCTTAACCCTTGCTTTTACACTGACAAGCAATTACACCTATCTGTTTCTAATTCTGAGTATAAGTGTTCTTTTTGTAGCCATTTAAGACTTCCTCATTGCTTACTCACTCTGTTTATAGAATTCTCAGTATCCTTCTGTAGAACAAAATTTCTGTTGCCTCCAGTTTTCTCTTCTGCTTCTCAGCAGTTTATATATCTTTTGGAATGAATCTCACTAGTCACATTTTCCATCCTCTTTTAAAATACTTCACTTGATGTTAACATCTCCAATTCGTAGCTCGCATTTTGGGCTTTTGACAAAAAATTATATTTATGGCACTTATCGTTACATCGACTTCCCAGACACCTTTTGATAGGGAAAATAGGTTCTGATATTTTCAAAATTTCAAATAACTGAATACCTAAATTATCGAAAAAGAATAAAGAAAAAAGTCATTTCCTGAAATAAATTTAATATTTATATTATCAAATAATATTTTCAATTTCTTTTTTTAAACGTTTTGTTCAGTTTATTTTTATGAAAAAAAAAAAATAAATAGTTTTGATTTTTGTTTGCTTCTAGTTGACTTTGCCTTTTACTGCTGCTAACTCCCAAAGCAAGATTTTTAATGATGGCTTCTGGCTGAAAGCCCACCCAACTTAAACATTTGTCAAACATAAACATTAGAATTTTATTTAAAGTGTTTGTTAATTTTTCATGTTTATCTTATACTAGCAGTCATACCTAGCTGGTCAATCAGAAAAAGCATTCAATTAGAATGGAGCAAAAACAGCATCATGTTTAGATGTAACAAAGTCTATATTCTTCAATTACTTTAAAGTACTTTCATTAAAAAACATTTTGATTTAATGTAGTTACTGATAAAACAGAAGTAGTCTGTATTTATTCAATCAAAGTTAGCCGAGGACATGAAGGGGTAAAACAGGCAACATGAAAACCCACTTCAGACCACAATTAGTTTGGAGTTTTTGAAATTCAATTTGTCAATGTGCTACCAGGGATGTAAAGAGGATACATTTATAAAGCAATTGTTAAGTTTGATGAAAATTGGTTGAAAGATTGATGAAAATAAGAAAGAAGCCAGTAAAAATTTCCATTTTCCACTATTTTTCCACCCATATAGTGAAAACTATATGGGTGGACTCAATTATCAAGTTAAATGACTGTTAAACAATCAACAATTGGCTACAATTGAGTGAAGCTTGTATTAGATTGCTTGAAAATTGAGGGAGTTTTTAGTTTAAAATTTGTGTTGAAATTGATTTTTCGTTTCTCACATTTTTCACTAAACGCAGTGGCGTAGAAATAAAAATGAGGTAACGTTAAGCTTGTCATGATGTAAGTAAGCTACATACGGAGCTTGAATGAAATCAAAAGAAAAAGTTGAATTTATCGATTTTTGATTGGCTTTACCGATTTTCGATTTTTAAAAATTACCAATTTTTTTATGATAGAATCTATCTCTTACATTGTACTATGTATGTGCCAAGTTTGGTCAAAATCTGTTGGATGGATCTCAAGTGAAAAGGTATCACACAGACAGACAGACAGACAGACATACAAACATCCTCTGTTTTATATATATAGATGGGGTGGTGTTAAAATAAATGAGAACCATTCTAAACACCCTTGTATACTGTTTTTGATTGCAGAAACTCTTTAAAGATAACCCTCTATATTGAGTGGCTTGGGGAAACATTAAGTAAAAAAAATAAATAAATAAAATCAACCATGTTATCATACTTACATTATCTGACAGCATATAAACTCAGTCAGTTAAGTGCCATGCATGATACACACTTCAGTGATCATGCATCTTTTGATACATGACTGACGAGGCAGATTTTTTCCCCGCAGTAGGCTGCTATTCCTTTCTGCAGTAGACCAGTTGCCATCCAAGGTTATAGAACCCAATCTGTCCTGCTATTTACCCATAGCTGGGGGAGGAGAAGAAGAGGATTCATACCTTTCCCAAGGGTATTATCATGTAAGTTAACATAATGGATTCAACTGGAATTTGAACTTGGCTCTCTGATTCCTCAATCTGAGCCACTATCCATTACTCACTGTAAACTAGTGTGTATAAAAATTATTTCGTACAGAAGGTGTTTTCTAAAAAGAATTTAAAGTACCTCCACAGAAACCTGATACCTAATGTTTAAAATGAAATTTTAAAAATGAAAATGGGGTGAAATAGGGTCAGACAACTTGTATCTTTTTAAACCCTTGGTAACTGGTATCATGGTGGCGAAGAGAATTCCTTGCATTTCGCTTCAGAGCAGGTCCAAATCACTTCTCTACTTTTGGTGATCCCAGCATGATTTAATTAGCCAATGAAAGACCACCTCATATCATGTGACCCCTATCTCTATATATGGGAGTAGATGAATTTTACAGACCCAACAACTGTATGCTCATTCTTTAGTAAATCTGTGGAGGTACCTAATTGAAAGCAGTAGCCTTTTTTTTCTTGAAATCATGTCATTTGATCAAGTAAAAAAAAATGAAGAAAATGTTATCAACACTCTCCTGTGTTCCTGTAAGTCATTCGGGGTGGAGTGGTGGGAGGCTTTTTCCTTGAAAATAAAAAAAAAGGGCTGAGGAGAGGAAAAGAAAAAGAATGGCAGGAAAAAAAAGGAACAAAAAGAAATAAACATATATGTAACCTTTCACACAGATTTCTTTTTTTTTTCTGGCGGTGTATTTTTTTTTCTTCTGGAGGTATATGTTTCTTTTTTTTTCTCACAGTGTATGCTTCTATTTTCCTGGAGGTGGATGTATCTTTTTTTTCTTGGAGGTGTATGTTTCTTTTTTTCTTGAGCTGTATGTTTCTTTTTTTTCTCGAACTGTATGTTTCTTTTTTCCTGGAGGTGTAGGTTTCTTTTTTCTGGAGGTGTATGTTTCTTTTTTTTTCTGGAGGTGTATGTTTCTTTTTTTCTCGAACTGTATGTTTCTTTTTTCCTGGAGGTGTATGTTTCTTTTTTTTCTGGAGGTGTATGTTCTTTTTTTTCTGGAGGTGTATGTTTCTTTTTTTCTGGAGGTGTATGTTTCTTTTTTTTTACCTGGAGGTGTATGTTTCTTTTTTTTTACCTGGAGGTGTATGTTTCTTTTTTTTTACCTGGAGGTGTATGTTTCTTTTTTTTTCTGGAAATGTATGTTTTTTTTTTTTTCTCGAGGTGTATATTTTAGGCTCTCATCTTGTCTCCACTACCCTCCCACCTCGCCCACCAACAAAACAAACCAAAATAAACACAATGCCACTCACTCTCTCCAGTTTCTGTGTATCATTCTCTTTTTCCTCTTCCACTCCAATCCACTCAGCCATCTTTTTGTTATATGTCGAGGGTGGGCGGGAGGTGGGGAATGGTAAGTTCATACAACTCAATTTTTCGTCTATTCTTCTTTTGTTATTTTGACCATAGTCAGGATCATCAAGTAAATAATATGTACTAAACCACTCTTAGGCTGGTTGCCACCCAAGGCTAAAGAACCCAGTCTGTCCTGCTATTTAACCATAGCTGGGGGGAGAAGAAGAGGATTCCTACCTTTCCCAATAAGTAAAAGTGATGGATCTGACTGGAATTTGGACTCAGCTCTGTGATTCCTCCATGGCACTATCCATTAAACCTCCGTGCCTCCTCAACCAATCCTTTACCAATCATTCAGATCACAATGGTGTCATACTAAGTCACTATATCTATCCAAGGATACTTCTCTATTGAATTTAACATTTCACAAGGTGTTTCTACAATACAATGATTTATTTACACTATTTGTATCCTGACTATTATCCTCATCTTTGTTGTCATTATCATGTTTCGTGTCCTTCAGCCCGAAACATTATAATAAAAACAACAAACACTTGTCCAAAGTGTAAATAATAATAAGTCCTCATCTGAGAAATTCAGACAGACATTACAATGATGTAACTGGAACAACCAACAAAACTATTCTTGCATCTGTTTGCCCTCTAAAACTTTGTCATTGCTCACGTTTGATCCATGGTATTCTCAGCATTCTTTCAGTCAAAACACAGTTCTGTTCCTTCAAGTCACTTCTTCAGCTGTGAGAAGATTGTCCAGCTTTCACTGCCATAGAGAACTGATATTATGTAACATTACAGTACTCTTTTCTTTCTTTCTGTTATTTCAAGAGTCTTCTTCAACTATGAGGAGATTGTCCAGCATTCACTGCCATATAGGAGGACTGATATCATGTAACATTACAGTACTCATATCTTTATTTATGACAAAGTTTTCCTGTTTCTTAATAATTTGTTTAGCTTTAGGAAGGTATTTTTCGCAATCTTTGCACCTTTGGATTCCAGTTTTACACTTTCCATCTACTATTAAAATGCCTCCTAGATATTTAAATTGTTCTGATTTTGACATCTCCATTCTGTACTTTGTATGTTCAGCTGTCCCTCTTACTAATATCTACTTATTCCAAAAGTTATTACTTAGCAAAATTTCTATTCATTCACTTAGTTTTATCACCTGTTCTAACATTTCAACATTTTCCCCAAATTAAATATGGAGCAAATGTTGCAGGATAAAAAGAAGAATAAAAAAACTTTTATAATATTTAATATTTTACTGTAATTTGATAGCAAAAATTGAAATCTGCATGAACTGCAAGGAAAATTGGGTTACTGTGTCATGCCAGAAGGTTTTTCTCATCAGAGACCATTTGTCCCTGTATTGAATCCTGTTACCATATCTGGTCAGGTGCTCCTGCTATTCATCCCGAGGTTCTTGACAAAATCCAAGGGACCTGCAATGTAATTGATTCTGACTTGGCATCTTGACTTCAGTCACTTTCTCACCTACATGACGTGGCTTGGCTTCCCTCTGTCTTTTCTACAAATATTTTCATAACAACAGCTCTGACAAGCTTTTTTTCCCTTGATGCCCTCACTAGATGAATTTAAGCATACTACTAGATTGACATCAAGGTCTCACCAATTTACTGTTGAAATAGATGTTTAACCTTTACCACACTAATTTCTTTCTCGAAGTGTTCCCCTTGTCACTGTTTTTCTTATCAGAGTCTATCTTGAATATTTACAAATCTACCATTCGTCTGTGTATTGAATACTGTTGCCACATCTGGTCTGGTACTACTGCTATTCATCTTGAGGTTCTTGACAAAATCCAAACAAGGATCTGCAATGTAATCAAACCTGACTTGGCATCTCGACTTCAGTCACTTTCTCACTGATGTGACGTGGCTTCCCTCTGTCTTTTCTACAGGTATTTTCATGGTAACTGCTCTGAGAAGCTTCTTTCCTTGGTTCCCTGTCTATGTGAATTTAAGCATGCTACCAGGTTGGCACCTAGGTCCCACCCTTTTACTGTTGAAATAGTTAAATGTAAACGTCACTTCTACTCCGACAGTTTCTTTACTCACACTTCCCGCCTGTGAAACTCCCTTCTATTTACTTGCTTTGCTGATAACTACAATCTTTAAAAATTCAAATGCAACATCAATCACCATCTTCCATCTTCTTGAATACTGTCCATCTTTTATCCTTTCCTTGGTCCCCACTCTACCCAATCTTTTCTCTCATTTTCACTATTCTGTAACCCCCCTCCCCCTGCATACTAGGGTGAAATGATTAAGACAAGAAGTCGATGTGAGGAAGAGATTTTGTGTATAAGAAGAAATAAAAAATCTGTAAGTAAAAGATTGGCTTCAAAAGAACAAATCATTCAGACAGAACGATGAGAGAGAGAGAGATGCAGAGATGGACTGATGAATGAAAGAGGTACACATTCATGCAGAGGTGAAAGAAGAGAAGAAAGAGTGATGCCTGTAGAGATGGACAGAGGAAGAGGGGGAGAGAGAGATATATGAAGAGACAGAAAGAGGAGGAAAGAGAGAGTCAGAGGAAGAGAGAGATTGATGGAGGAAGAGAGAGAGAGAGATATAGATAGATGTGGAGACAAACGGAGAAAGAGAGGCAAATGAAGGCAGATGTAGAAAGAGGGAAACACGGAGATGAACAGAGAAAGAGAGGGACACAGAGATGAACAGAGAAAAAGGGACAAAGACAGGGAAACACATGGAAATGGAAGAAAGAAAGGGACACAGAGAAAGAAAGGGACAAAGTGACAGAGAAAGAAAGGGACATCAGATGGAGAAAAATGGAATAAACAGAGAAAGAGAGGGACATGGAAATGGATAGAGAAAGAAAGGGACACAGAGAAAGAAAGGGACACAGAGACAGACAGAGAAAGAAAGGGACATGTAGCCAGACAGAGAAAGAGTGGGACATGTGAATGGACGGAGAAAAAATGAGACACTCAGAGGGAAACTAGCCAGGAGATAAATAACAAAGTCAAACAAACACAGAAATGAAAACACTGAGACAAATAGAAACAAAGATGGAAAGACAAATAAATAGCAACACATACAGTCGGACAGAAACACAGAATAAAAAATGCTGTATCCCGAAACTAACCTTCATGCGTTTGACACCAGCTTCACCATGGATTCCTAAATAATCAGATAAAAATATATTCAGATTATTAGAATAAATGACAAAATAAAGTGCATTCAAATTTAAAACAAACTGGACAAAATATATTTTAAAATCAATTATCCAGAAAGCTTCACAAATTATACATATGACAGACACAACAATTAATGTCAAACAAACTTTCACTCAATTTCCATAATTTGCTCTCCAAATTGAGGCCAATATCTGCTGGTAGCTTTCATTACACAGGATTTAAGAGTCTCTGTCCAAGGATAGGGTGTGGATTTTGAAAATAAAAGTAACAACAAGTAGGAAGAGAAACAGGAAAATTGTATAGCTACATTCATTAAATTGAGAAAAAAAGTTCACTTAATTAGCCTCAAGCAAAGGTTGACTGCATGGGATGTTTTTATTTTTAAATCAGGGTAACATTAAAATACAACTATTCATCAATAACAAAAAATAAAGATTTCTTTACTGCTTCAACCTGCACTAATTCTCAATGTAGACATAAGAGTCATAAAGATTTACTAGAGAAATACTGGTTGTTGCTAACTATGCAATGCCCAGAGTCAAACAATGGTGAGATGAGAAAAAAAAAATGATCATATTACTCTAAGCTTTGAAATAAAGAAAGACCGACTTTGCAAAAAAAAAAAAAAAAAAAAAATTGAAAAAAGTAATCAGTTTTCTATTTTTTATTTTTTTTACAACTAAGGTACTTGGATAAGTATATTTCATTTTGATCAAAGGGGTCCCTGGGTAACACGACTTTTTTTCTTTTTGATTTAAATTAAATTTAAATTTGAACAAGTGAATGACTCATATCCAAAATATAGATGGAGAAAACCAGAAGATGGAGGTCACATCAGCAAGATCATTGAGTAATATTGAAATGAATCATTTTTCTCCACAAATTATAACAATGATTTAAAATCAATCATCATTTTCATTTTTTTTTTTTACAATTAGCTTAAAAGCCACCCTATTGGAGGCCCATATATGGTAGCAATACTTTATTTTCTATCCGTGTATAGGGATACAAAAGGTAATTATCTCATTTGGTCAAGATGAAGTCACATGGGTCATGTGACATCACTTCATAGAATGACAAAAGTGGCTACTCAGTCAGTTAACTAGGCCTTTTGGCCCATGCTGAGGCTGAATCTGTTTCCCTTGGCCAGCTTAGAAGCTCATGGCACTGTTTTCCCTTTGTGAATATATCTTTAGATATAGAAACTATTTTCATCTTACAGTCCTCATGTTGAGAAACACCCATGGCTCTGCAATTCCTGTCTAAAAGGAATATGTCCTCACTAACAACATCTATATGTCTGTCTGTTATCAAACTATGCATAGGGTTTTGGAGATTGACCCCCACCCCCATAATAACCATATACACTGCTGCTTGATAAAAGAGACTCACCTGATTTTTTTTACTTAAAAATTTTTTCGCCTATTGTTTTTGGGGTCAAACTAATTTTTAATCTTACTCATATAAAGACCCCTTTCCGACCACCTAGTAAAAAAGTTTACTCACTCTAAGGTATTCTATTGATAATTACAATTTTGGATATAAATGAGTTTTAGGGAAAAACTCTGTGCAAAAAAAGTGACTCACTTATTTCCTGCAACTAGTAATCAATAGAAACATAACCGAACAGCTTTAAATAAAGAATAATAGAGGTATAATTTATTTATAATAGATAATATAGTTTGAAATATTTAATAATCTATGGGTACTCCTTTATTTTGAATAACCTTTTCAACCCTTTTTGGCATTGACTTGATTAGGTTCTGGCAAATCTCATCTCCAATCATTGAATTCTATTTGAATATGAAATTCACAATCAAATCCTCTTGTTGCTCAACTGCTTTCTCAAGAGCCTGTACTTTATAATGCTCCATAATTTTTCAATGGGGTTGAGGTCAGGAGATTGGTGCAGCCATGTCATTACACCCACCTGCTTCTCATCAAAGTATTCCTTCATCAATTTTGATTTGTGACAGGGAGCATTATCCTGCATAAATATGAGCTTCGTGGGGTCAATTTGCACCCTTTCAGCAGAAGGGAGCAGACAAGACTCTAAAATTCTCTTGTACTGTTCACTCCTGAGGGTTTTTTCAATAGGTTTTAAGAAACCAGTTCCATGAAAAGAAATGCATCTCCAGAATATTATACTGAATGGATTCTTGACAGTACTTACTGCTAAATTCAAAGAGCTTTAAAAGCTTCTTCGGATTTTAGATCGCTTATCCTTTGAATTTAGCTCAAATTTCGTTTCATCGGAGAAGAGAACATTTAGTAAAAAAAAAAAACAGGTGAGTCACTTTTATTGAACAGCACTGTATATTCTGAAACTACATTACCCAGGGTACTTGGATAAGTATATTTCATCAAAGGGGGACCCCAGTGGGGAGGGGATCACAAACTCCTCACTGAAAATTTCTTTCCCTTTCATATAAATTAAATTTAAATTTGAACAAGGGAATGACTCCTGAGGTACTCGGATAAATATATTTCATTTTGATCAAAGGGGCCCCTGGGGAACACAACTTTTTTTTCTTTTTGATTTAAATTAAATTTAAATTTGAACAAGGGAATGACTCATATCCAAAATATAGAAGGAGAAAGCCAAAAGATTGAGGTCACATCGACAAGATCATTGAGTAATATTGAAATGCATCATTTTTCTCCACAAATTATAACAATGATTTAAAATCAATAATCATTCTCTTACAAAAAAAATATGTGACATTCAGCAAGGCATGGGTAATTCAGCTAGTAAGCATATAAATCTGGCTCACTTGAATGTGGAATCCTAAATATGGCCACTCCAGAAATGCAAATGAATCTCTGGTAGCTGCAGGTCCCTTTTTTATCTCCTTTTCACTCTGCTTGTTGTTGTATACAGGTTATAATTTCTCTGCATGAGACACATAAATATGTATATATAATTTAGTGTATGACTTAGTGGTATAAAACTCTCCCTGAGAACAAAGCCTGTTTGTCATTCCTTTTCTTCTAGTTATTCCGTTCCGTCCGTGAAATAAGTTGTTATTATATCATGGCTATATAATACAACCTAGGAGTAAACTTTTTTGTCATAGGTCACCCATTATCCGATCATTCCAAAGTGATACAATATTGTTATTAACTCCCATCAAGTGTTTAAAATCCAAGCTTTTACTTGAGCCAGAACCACAAACTCCAATGTTTATAGGTAACAACAGCTGCTAACAAACAAGTTGTCTTCTATATTCATTGTCCTTTCAAGACTTGGGTGATCATTGCTCTTCACAACTTCCTATCCTTTGATACTCTTAATAAGGTTTGTTCACTCCGACTCCCTGTTCCACCAACCATTTATACAAGCTCATTTGATAGGTTATGTGTTACTTTCATCTGTCATTCATGCCTTCAATATATCTTGTGAGTAGCAAATTCTCAAAGCCTACTTTCCTCATTAAGTTGCTTAAAAATTTCAATTGTCTCATTCTGGTTGTAAGTATAAGTTTCCAAACAAGTCAATAACATCAAAAAATGGTATTTCAATTTTTCATAACTTGTTAAATTAAGGGTTAAACAGTTTTCAAAACCAAACACTTTGGTCTCCTGGAAAGACCCATTAAATTATTAAAGTAGATAAGTTTTCACAATCAACTTTTAGACCATGACACTGATTTCATTCAGCTTTTGTTGTCAACATACTCTTCTAAAGAATACTTTTTTCATTTAGTTGATTAAAACTTAAACTAAAAAACTAACTTATCTAGGTCATTCATTGGGATATCCCCAACAAGGCCATCCATTGGGACATTCCCAAATAGGTCATCTATTGGGACATCCCCAACTAGGTCGTCCATTGGGACATCCCCAACTAGGTCATCCATTGGGACATCCCCAACTAGGTCGTCCATTGGGACATCCCCAACTAGGTCGTCCATTGGGACATCCCCAACTTGGTCATCCATTGGGACATCCCTATGACATATTCATACTTTTTTCTGGTTTTGTTTTAAATGTGTCATCAATAAGTGTTTCAGTTGTGCATATATTAGAGAACACAAGGCAGTCATCTATGCATTGACAGAGTTTCCATCTAACTCTGGATATTTATGCCTTATCCATTGTCTAGTATGAAGGATCTTTTGCATGGCACCTTTGTAGTTCAATGCCAAATCTAGTCTGTTATATTCTGCCATTGACTACATCCAACATCCCACTGCCAATGTTGTCACCATAACACTAGCAGGAGTGGCTTACAGGTGCCATGCCTTGCCAATGGGTAACCCATGATTTGGTTATTACAGTTTTGAATTCAGAGATACCCTTCTCCTAAACTGGTTACCAACCACAGCTAGAGATCCCAGTCTGCTGATAAACCCATAGCTGGGGGAGAAAGGGTAGATTCATACCATTCTCAAGGGTATTTATGTGTAAGTGAATGCAATTAACTCAACTGGAATTAGATCTTGGCCTTTTGATTTCTCATTCCAAGCTGCTTTTCATTATACCACCTGCGCATTCAAACTTTAAATTAATTAAAACTTGAAACTAGACAAACTTTTTATCACATGAGACAATGCACAAAACCAGTCGTGAGACATCAAGGACACTATCAGAAAGGTTTAGTTTGATTTGGTTTACGGCATATCAACCTTAATGGGTTATTTAATGTCGACAAAATTTTTATTAATGGTAATATTTTTTTTTAAAAATGTATAGTTGGTAATATTTTTCCTTCAAAAATAAAAATTTGAAGATGCAAAAAAAATTAGATAAGGCAGAAAATGCAAAAAGTTGACCCACATAATTTGTATTGCAGAATAGGAATTTCTCAGCATAAAGAAATTTTGTGCTTTGAATTGATTGATGTCATGGGGACTTTTTATGTTTTTCCTTGACAGAAAAGTTCAATTTGAGTTTTTAGGTTCTATGAAATTCTTCTCTGAAAGTGGCCCAAATGAATATCGCTCCTGGGACTTAAATCTGCTTTCAGGTTGAGGTTTAGCTGTCAGATCATTTTTGTTTTGTTTTGTTTGTTTTGTTTTACGGCATATCAACCTTAATGGGTTATTCAATGCCAACAGGATTTTTATTACTGGTAATTTTGTATTGCTGGTAATATTTTTTTTTCAAAAATGTATTGCTGGCAATATTTTTTTCCCCAAAAATCTATTGCTGGCAATAATATTTTTTTTCCAAAATGTATTACAGGTAATGGTTTATTCCTTCAAAAATTTACTGCTGGTAATATTTTTACAAAAATGTATTGCTGGTATTAAAACCTATTTTTACACTTTCATAGCATTTTGACTCCAGTTTAGGGTTAACTATTTGTCCATAACTAGGACCCTAACAAGTGCTACCACCCTGCATCAGGGTAGACCTGGGAACACCAGCAATGAAGAGGTGGTTCCACACTCCTCAAAACCTCCGGATCAGAGACCTTGCTGTCAGATGTAGTTTATTGTTCTTACCCAGGACATGGTATCAGAAAGTTTCCAAACATAGCCTTAACAAACTTAAGTTAACTTCAAGTGCTTCTGGCTATATTTGTCTTATTTTAACTTCATCAGGAAGTGTAGAAATCAAATCTATCCTTATTTCATGCCACTAAATTCAGTTAATTGATATTAATCATTTAACAGTACTTATTTATCATATAATCACTAACAGAATTAATTAGACATGCTTGAAAACATCAGCCATTATCTATCCTACATATGCTACATCTAGAATCAGCCACGCCACATACGCAAGGTCAAATCATCATCACTCCCTTTGTATTCCTTTTGTAAGGATGAAGTTCCATTCAGACAGCTTCTTCCCAAGAACTGTTATTTTGTGGAACAGACTCCCAAGTGCATTCTTTCTCGATTACAACAGACTTGACCACTTCTTGGATCAACTGTTATCTATCCTGCCTATCCCCATATTGCACTTCCTGCTCCTACAACAACCTCATTTTAGTACCCCTCTATTTTGAGTGGCTCTTGGGACTAGTATTGGGTGGACATTTAGTTAAAAAATAAAGATAAAAATGCAACTAAAATTAAAATGAAAGAAATACTTGTAAAAAATTAAGGATTTTTATTTCAAACTAGCCTAGAAGCTGTCCATTCAGACAGACTTTAGGCAAGCTCCTGCAGAGGTCTTTTGCGCCTTCAGCCTTTTACCTTCAGCATCCTATGTATGTAAAGTTTATAAAAATTTAGAAATAAAACTTTTTTTTTTAACACCTTAATTCGGCATAATCTTTCTTCATATACGCAATGAATCTCTGTATTTTGTTTATATTAACTTTGTACAGAGTTTTATTTTCTTTTAAAATCATCATTCTTTATGAACCCTTCACATAAAGTCACTCTTAAAAAAACGTTAGGGAACACAAACTATGTAATATTTCAAATACATCACAGTATGTGTACTAGAAAAAGAAGAAAAAAATATGAGCAATGTACTGCGCTCAGTTTTAAAATTAGATGTTATCAATTAAAATTTATAAGTTTTAAAATTAGATGTTATCAATTAAAATTAGATGTTATCAATTAAAATTTATAAGTTTTAAAATTAGATGTTATCAATTAAAATTAGATGTTATCAATTAAAATTTATAAGTTTTAAAATTAGATGTTATCAATTAAAATTTATAAGTTTTAAAATTAGATGTTATCAATTAAAATTTAGATGTTATCAATTAAAATTTATAAGTTTTAAAATTAGATGTTATCAATTAAAATTATATGTTTTAAAATTAAAATTTATAAGTTTTAAAATTAGATGTTATCAATTAAAATTTATAAGTTTTAAAATTAGATGTTATCAATTAAAATTTATAAGTTTTTAAAATTAATTAAAATTTATAAGATTTTAAAATTAAAATTTATAAGTTTTAAAATTAGATGTTATCAATTAAAATTAGATGTTATCAATTGTAAATGCAATGAAAAGTGAAATTGAGTTAAACCTTTAATAAAGTGTTGATTTTTAAATCCTTTACTCTGTTCAATATTTAAATTTAACTTTAAATGAGTTATTTATTTAACTTTTCACTTTGCATAGCTACATTAGTTGGTGTGAGGCAATTCAATTTTTTAAGTTACACAAGTGAGGAGGAAAGAAAAGAAGATGAAGTTTTTTTCTGTTTGTTTTGATGTCCAAACTTGTTAACACATAGAATTTTAAATCTGCCTCACCCTCATTCATGCTCCGTTTTATAGCGAAGGCCAATACCATTATCTACATGATCTATCATTTCATTAAACTAATCACAAAATTATGGCTCAATTATTATTATTATTGCCTTCGACCTCTTACCTTCAGCGTCCTATATACATAAAAGTTATAAGAATTTAGAAATAATAAAATTATTTTATCTTTATTCAACACTTTAATTTGGCCTAATCTTTCTTAGTATACATAACCTATCTTCGTAGTTTGTTTACATTTCTTTAGCACAAAATTTTTATTTTCTTTTAAAATAACCATTCTTTATGATCCCTTCACATAAAGTCACTCTTAAAAGTCATTAGGGAACCCGAACTATGTAATATTTCAAATAAGTCACAGTACGTGAGTAAGAAAAAGAAAAAAAAAACATATGAGCAACATACCTTGCTTGCTTAAGTTTTAAATACAGTTTAATCAGACAATATCAATTGGAATTGTGACAAAAATCAAAATAAAGTTAAACCGTTAATAAAGAGTTATTTTTTAAACCTTTCAGTCTGTTCAAGAAACGGACGGAAGGACGGACACAAGCAAACTGCACTTTACATAAAAGGCCTGATAGGTCTAAGGTAACTAGAAAGTTTATCAACCATCATTAATTTTGGACAAAGGTTTCTTTATTTTTAATTTTATTTGCTTTTAGAGTAACAGTTAAGGGAATGGCTGGATGGACTTCCTAAAGCTAAAGTCTATGTCTCACTGTAAACATTTCCCATCCATAATGTTTACTAATGGTTACAGACTGACAGTCTGATGGGCTGTGATAAAAAAAAACAACTAAAATAAATCTAAAAGAAAAAACTAGAGAAAAATTAATAATTGTTGACAATGGTTTTACGCAAATTACATTGTCAAATATTGTTTTGGTCACATGTTAAAGAAAATGTTTGTTTAATCAATGAAAGGAAACAGATTAATTCTTTGAAAAACTGAAATAAAAAAAAAAACTGACACCATCAATATTCAAATCAGAATCCATTTCTCTCCAACACTGATGAACAGATGTGCGGTTAGTATAATAGGTAGGGAGCTTTGAATGAGAAATCAGGGAATTGAGTTCAAATTCCAGTCTGGTTAGTTACATTTACTTAGGCACAAATAACCTTGGTAATGGTATAAATCCATCTCCTCCTCCCAGCTACAGGTTAAATAGTAGAACTTGTATGTGGGGAAATCATTGTTATTCTAAAAAAAAAACTGTTAATGCAATATTTGCTGGTAAAAAAATTATTCATGCAATCCAAAATATTTTTTGGCTTTAAATAACCTGCAAAAAGTTGATAAGCTTTAAAAATCAAGTCTATCATCCCCCCAACGCCAACACAAAAACAAATTAAGTGAAAGTTTTCTAACCAAGACCAAGTTCCATTTCATCAGCTGCCAATGTGAAAAGTTGGTGAGATCCTGGGATACTGCACGCACTCAAACCAAGACCAATTGTTCCTGGTAAATAAAATGAAAAAAAATACTATATAAATAAACACTATATAAAAAGATATGTATTAGAAAGAAATGACCAGATTCTCCAAATTTTTAGCTAGTATGTATGAAATATATATATATATATATATATATATATATATATATATATATATATATAATTAAGTTATGAAAAACTTGGTAATCCGTATGGTAATCCCAAGGAGGATGAAATCCTGAAAGCTCAATGTAAATCCAGAACTAATATTTTAAAGAAAAACAGACCACTTTAAGGTTCCATTATAATAATTTATTTATAAAATAAATTTATAAAAATTTATAAAATAAATTATTATTAAAATTATTTAGAAAATAAATTATTATAATGGAACCTTAAAGTGGTCTTTTTTTTTGTAAATATATATATATATATATATCCATGTAATGTGAGAACGAATAGAGTCTAATTCTGACGTTCATAACATTCAATTTAAATTCAATTTCAATATTCTTTATTTTAGGATATTACATCAAAAACATGTAAAAACATCATTACACAAATGCAATCATGCTTCTATGTGTAAGGTTTTTAAATCTCAATTGTCAACTTAACAGTTATTTACTAACACCTAATGAGATGTGTTAATACGCATCAAAACATGATTGCATTTGTGTAACGTCTTTTTTTACATGTTTTTAATGTAATATCCTAAAATAAATATATATATATATACTGAGTTGTGCTACCATTGAGGAATAATATGTATATTTATTAATACATAGTTAATAGCTCTGTTATACAACATCGAGCACTATTTTATTAATACCAGCCCTCAACATATATATATATATATATATATATATATATATATATCCATCATGTAAAATGAGATTATTTTAGGATATTACATCAAAACATTTTCTTACTTTTCTTGTGAAAAGAGGGTGTATCTCAATAAATTGTCTACTCACCAGTTATCAAATAATTGTTTATATATATATATATATATATATATATATATATATATATCTCCATGTAAAATAAGAATGAATGGAGTCCAGTCTGACATTCATAACATTCAATTTAAAAGAGGCCTCAATACAAAAGTAGAGCAATATTCTTTATTTTAAGATATTACATCAAAAACGTGTAAAAAAACGCTACACAAATGCAATTATGTAGCATTTTTTTACATATTTTTGTTATAATATCTTAAAATAAAGGATATATATAGATATAGATATATATATATGGTGTGATGATTGTGTTTAAGCATGAAACAGACTGTCACCACTGCTAGGTATTGATTTCAATGTTGACTTTTATATTCATACATGCTCTATCCCTGATATTGAGCACTTTAACCCATAAATATAACATAAAATAAAAATATATTTTTATTATCATATATGTGTATATATATATATATATATATATATATATATATATATATATATATATATACATATATATATACATATACATACATATATATACATATCCATACATATATATACATACATACATATATATATATATATATACATATATATATACATACATATATATACATATCCATATATATATATACATATCCATACATATATATATATATATATATATATATATATACATACATATATATACATATATATTATATATATAAGTCTTGTTCTTGTCCATCGTCTTTGTCATGTTGAATTGATAATATTAATTATATTTTATGAATATGTCCTGAAGATGGTTTATTACACACACACATAAACGTCGATGTTTGACATATTAATCATTAAAACAGCATAATTGCATATAAAGATGGTTTTTTTGTTTGACATTTTTTCCGCATATATTTTTTTTTCTTTTTTTATATATATATATATATATATATATATATATATATATACACAATTCCCATTCATTTTAAATGCAAAAACAATTTTTAAAATTAAAAAACTGTAATCTTAGTATAATATATAATGTAATGCAAGGCAAAGCAAAGCAACTATAGGATAATAATAAAGTAAAAAGTTCACATGCAAGAGGGGGACACGTTGAAGTGGCTATAGCTGTATGCCAAAAGACAAAAAAATGTACATAAGACAAAGAATTTTCGATTGGTGAAAAAGAAATCCCAGCCTGCATTTGTAAGATTTGTCTATATTTGGGAAGCAGAGATTTTTAGCTGGTGTAGCAATATGATTTCTCACACATCCTTAGGAGATGAATAGATACATTTTTTTTCCTTTTAAGTCAATTTAATAACTAGAGATTCTCAGTAACCTTGTCTCCAGCCTATCTTTGAGTAAATTTAATGACCAGGACTTTTCAGGAATCCTGTCTACAGCCTACCTTTTGAATTGACTAACATAAAATTTTGTTAATGATTTTAGATAATATTAGACTCCTCTGAAAGAACTGACAGAAGACTGACTGAAAGAAGTTATCTGGGTGCCCCCCCCTTTCTGGTTGGAGGAATATGAGTGGACAGAAAGGGGTGGTGAATCCAACAGCTACTATGCATATAATGAGTAGTCAGTGAAACGGCGAGCAGTAAATGAAATGGTCAGTCAGTCAGTGTGTAGGGGTTTGTTTTTCATGGCCGGAAGTTAATGAGAAATCAGGTAAAAATGTTTGCTTTCTCATAGCAGAAGGAAGACATTGGCCGATTAAGTGAGAAATCATATTTGTTTTTGCTACTTCCCAATCAAACAAGTGTTGAGAAAAGGATTTGTCATTATTTCTTTGAAGCATTGATCACAGCCATAACTGAATGCTTATCTGTGGAACAAAGCGAGTGCATAAAGACAATCTTGGATGTTATCAGAGTGACATGCAGAATCACATCATCATACAGTCATTCTCCATAATTTGAACCAACTGAGAGAATGATTTCCCAACAAGTAAAATCTTAACATTTTCAAATCTAGGCTCAACTCTTATCTATCCTACATATCCTCCTCATCCATAATTCTTCTGCCCATAAAATAACCCCATTCAGTAGCTATCTTCAGTGGTTGTTAGGTTTTGTATTGGATGAACAATATCATAATAAAGAAAAAAACTCCTTACCCATTTGTTTAATTGCTTCTTTGCAGGCAGAGGCAATTTCCTGAAGACTTTTGCCCTCTTCTGCGAGTGCACCAGCAATCTACAAATAAAACAAAATGATTCAAATTTAATTCCAAAATATTTCAAATTTAATGATTCAATTGTTGCAATAAAATCAAAGTGACATAAAAGTGTTAAATAATTTATTTAAAAAAAAAAATTCTATAAATATAAAACTCAGTTTCATCTCTCACAAGTTTAAAATGTCAAGGAGATTTTGTTGTCTTGAAAGTCAGCAATCAAAATTCTGATTTTTATCTGACCTCAAACTATGACCACAAGTAAATAAGAAATCAACCAGATGCCAAAAGTTCACGTGCTTTCAACCAACATTGTAGCAATATTTAATTTGAAATCACTTTATATGTATAGAAGACAAAAAGAAGATAACAGCATGATTTAAATTTTTGCACTGGTTATCTTATAAGAAGTGTGTTCCTTTCTGCTTTTTCCCATGAACTGCCATTTTTAGAAACAGACTCGTAAGTGCTTCCCTGAACACAACAATCTTAATCTCTTCACGTCAACGGTCAATCATTGTCTATCCACCTTATCTTCATAATCTTCACTTTTTATCACCTCTTTTTTATTGATATTACACTCTTTAACATTAACATATTAACAGTAACCCTCTTTTGAGCCTTGTTTTCAAGATAAAATTAATGAAGAATTGTTTTTAAAATCATTAAAAATAAAATTGTCCAAAGAATTGGCCAAATGTCCAAGTATACCACTTCAAAAAGTGCCCGACTCTTCTTGCTATCCTTTATTTTTACAAGTGTCTGATTAGACCAAAAATAAGGTATTGCTGTCATATTTCCATTTTTGGCAATGTCAAAAATGGAAATATGACAGCAATACCTTATTTTTGGTCTAATCAGACATTTTTGACAATATTAGTTGTCTGGGATGACAACTAATATTGTCAAAAATGTAAATATGACAGCAATACCTTATTTTTGGTCTAATCAGACACTTGTAAAAATAAAGGATAGCAAGAAGAATCAGGCACTTTTTGGAGTGGTATACTTGGACATTTGGCCAACAGATATTTAGCCAAAAATGTAGTAGCGTACTTACATGTGTCTGTCACACTCTTTATCGTAATGTGCTACATATATTTATATTTATTTACTGTGTTAATTTTTAATTGTTTGGGGTTTTTTGACAGTTGTTTTTTTAAATCTATTCTGTATATATTATATTTTACTTCAAATATGATAAGTATTTCGAGAAAAAGCACATTTTACCACAGCAAAAACCTTAAGCTTTTCCAATATCAAAGATCTTTCCATTTCGCTTTTAATGTTCATTATCTTAAAGGGATAAACTAACTTTTATCTTACTGTTAAATACAAATTTTAATAATTAGGTGCTACTTTTTAACCAAATACACTCAAATATTTTTTAAAAATACTAATTTCAATAAACAATTATTGAAATAAGAAAACTTTTAACTTTAAATTTAGATTTAGTAATTTAATCACTTGAAATTCAGTGGTAATTATTAGTCCTATTCTATCTTATAATACTGCTAATTAAAATACTTAAAGTATTGCTTGTTACTATTTTACTTATAATTTTTCATTCAGCCAAATGCCCATTCGGCCAAATGTCTCTCAGTCAAATGTCCGACCACATAAGGAGCCAAATATTTTTATAGTATCTAGAAGAGTTCCACTTGAGGTCTGGAGTGAACTTGGGTCCCAGTAGATGTTCAAAGCATGGAGTCACAATAAGGTCACAAATGTTGATCATAAAAGGAGAAAGCTTAAGCTCTAACGGTGATGATTAAATGTTACTAGCTTGGTTTTGGAGGGAGAAAAACTTACAAGTTATTCTTCCATTGAACTGTTAGAGCTGGTTCAGCAGAGAGATCAACTGTAAGGCTCAAACTAACTTGATTTTTGGAGGTGTTTCTATAAACTGTGGTAGCATTCAAGTAAATGTTTACTAATGATCAAAGAATAATGTAAGCAAAATTTATATATTACTTAATCATTTCACCCCAATCAAGGATACAGAAGGCACTTATCTCTCTTTGGTGGAGATAAATCACATGACAACAGTTTAGTGATGTCATTCCTTTACAACAATGAAAAGGGCAGCCAAATTCAGTTTGTTTACAGCATGCACCATGTGAGGTTGGTTTCTTTTAGGCTGAGGTTAAATCTGCCTCCCCTGCAGTATACACGTCCATGGTGCCATTTCCCTTTGAGAATTTATCTTTCCCAGATACAGAATAAAACCCTAGCATGCAGTTCCCAATTTTGGAAAAACCAAGACTTGCTGTTTCTTGTTCATGGAATAAGTCCTCACCTTGGAAATAGATGAATCCAGCCCATTTAAATCTGGAGTCCTAAAAATGGCTTCTTCAGACACTGGTGTAGCTCCTTATTATATGTAAAACCCTTCGTTTTTATTTCCCCTTACACTGTGTTTTTTTGTACTATATAGATATATGTAATATATTATTCTCCATGTGAGACACATGTGTATATATGTATATATAGTTTTGTGTATGTCTTAGTAATATCAAAGTCTCTCTGAAAACCAAGCATGTTTCTTATTCCATTCCTTTCAGCTATTCCGTTTCATCCATGAAGTACGATGTTATTCTATCATGGATATAATAATGCCCATAACTGGGAAAATTCAAATGGGAGAATAAATCTTTCTACCATAGGTCTCTCCCATTACAAAGGAAATAAAGCCACTAAGATGCAAGGGGTTATTGAGTGTAAGAGAATACAAGAAAAAATACACTGTTAAGGAGAGAAAACAATAAAAGAACAGGAATTAAGAATACAACAGATAATGATTGACATTGATTTTAAATTTTCAAAGATCAAAGATGACTGGAAAGCAAGAAGCCGGATGAGAGTTCCATAAGTGAGAAGTGCAAGAGAATAAACTGCTAGCATAGAACTTATGATTACATGTAGCCATTTCAACTGTAAAATGATGAGACCTAACTGCCAATCTAGTACTGCACTTAAATTCATAAAGTCCAGGTACCATAAAGGAAAGTAATATTTATTTTGTGTAAAATACAAAAATGTGGTACAATGCCTAAACAGGAGGGATAACAGAAGGCTGGTCTTCATCTGTCTTATAATTAAACTTAGCTAGCCACAATCACTGACCCAAATATACCACAGTAATCCTTACACAAAAACAATACATTCTTACTTATCATTCTTACTGCAGTCATCACAATACCTCAGAGTCTCTATGAAGTCTGAACTAATCTCCATATGTACAATTTGTCTGTGGTGGGTGGGGAATAAAATAACAACTAAAATAGAGGAAAGTTCATCAGAACAATTACCATGGACGCATTTATAGAAAAGGAGGGAAAGTGATTGAAGCCAGGATGTCAGGTCAGGACCAATGACATTGTAGATTCTTCTTTGTATTTTATCAAGAATCTCTAAACATATCGCAGGTAGACGAGATGTGGCAGCAATATCCAAAGCTAGGAAGAATGGTAGATTTATAAATATGTAAGATAGATTCTGGCAAGAAAAATTATCTATCATTTTATAAGGATACAAAAAGCGATTATCTCACTTTGGTGGGAATAAGTCACATGAGTTTTGTGATGGTCACTTAGTGACATCACTCCATACAGTGGTGAAAGTGGTAGTCAAATTAAGTTAAACTGAATGTTTGCTTTTTTTTAGCCCAGACCAAATGCCTCAGTCTGAGGCTAAATTTTGTCCATCATTCACTGCCATTACAGGAGGACAGATATCACATAACAGTTCAATACTCTTTTCTTTGTTTTCTTTGTTTCTAACAGAATCTTTCTGTCTCTTAATACTCTGCTTAGATTTGGAAGGCATCTTTCAAAAAATTATGTTAAAAATGAAGGAAACAGTGCTGCATTGCTATGTAATTTCTGATCCCAATACGACAATGAATGCAGGACAAATTCATCACAATGAAAAGATATGAAACAAAAACAGATATGAATCCACAGATGAATGTTATTTTTGTTAATACTATTGTTCACCTGATACAAGGGCCAAGAGCCACTCAAGGTAGAGCTACTGAAAGACAGTGTTGCAAGGACATACAAGGAGAGTATAAGAGGAGCATATTCTGAAAATATGTAGGCTAGATAATGGTTTTTCTTCAGCTCGAAGTGGTAAAGGTTGTAGTTATTGGGGGAGCATCCTCTTGGGAGTCTGTTTCACAAAAGTAACTGTTCTGAGGAAGAAGCTGTCTGAATGGCACTTTCTCTTTACCAATGTAATACAAAGGGAATGAGGATGAGTTGACTCTACGTATGTGGCACAGCAGGTCTTAGCTGTAAGGGTTTGAACTGGTGGAACTAATGAATGTAGCTCAGTTGAATATTTGCCATGAAAAGAGAGATGGTGTAGAGAGAGTGTAGCAATGTTTCATCTTTGGGGAAAGGGGTTGTAGGGTGGAAAATAATTCATCACCCACATGGCCGTGTAAAAACTTTTGAATTCTGTCAAGCCTGGAAAGTGAGGTTTGGGCAGATCCAGTCAAGATAAAGCAACAATTTCCCATTTTTGGTCTGATTCAAAATATACCAGAAGTAGTGAGGTACTTTCTGGAGTAGTACAAAAAAAAACAAGAAGATTAACAAAAAAGACAGCTCAACCAGTTTATCAGTTCTCTCATATTAGAGCTCAATTGAGGAGGAAAAAGTATTGGCATCTATGTATGTTAAGTCCAACCAGCCATCTCTCTGTAAGCAACAAAGTAGTTAGTGGGCTTATGGTTAATTAGCCTGTAGGTGTTATATATTTATACAACATTCTGTCTTTGTTGTTCATTTTTGTAATTTTTGTGCATATTTTTTGTTTGTGATTGATCTGTGATGAAAGAGGACCAATAAACCTGTTTAGCTGTCATTTTTTTTTGTCAGTTTTTGATTTTGATATTTTAGTTATTCATTTTTCTTCTTTTAATTTGTTATTTTTATCACTTTAATAAAATCTTTTACTCTTTCAAAAACACTATTCATTATTTATTTTTATTCAGTTGAACTTGCTCGGACATTTATGAGTCTATCACGCCAACCATCATGGTCCTGCATCAAGGTTGGAGGATCATTAGTGTTGCATTCTATGTCATAACATAGCTGGTTAATGTAGGTGGTTGCTGGGCAGCCAACACTGTCTTGCTGCATGGCTAGGTGTCCAGAGCAGCAGACTACTCACAAGTTCTTGTTTTCCTCACCAGCAGTGCCTTGCAAAGTGCATTTCTGCATTTGTGTAAGATTGTAGAAATATCAGGGATGGGTCTGTAGAGCTGTCATTTAGTTGGATGTTGTCTCCAAGAGATGTTAAGTATGACATTCAGCATCCAAGTGTAGATTCCATCAAGCTTAGACTCAAGGGTTTTAGTTAATGTCTAAATAGTGGCGCCATACATTAAAACCACTTCTGCATGAAAGAAGCTCTGTTTGATGTCATTTGGTAGATCAGTGCCTGTTACACCCTTGTCCATTCCACACAGTTGTTCCTTGCAGATTGACCACAGATTCTCGATTGCATTTAAATCAGGAGAGTTTCCAGGCCAATCTATAGTACTTTGATTTGCTCACTGGTAATGATTGCTAGTGTGTTCGTGCAGTATTAAAATTTTCATACACTTCCTCGGAGTAATGCCCATCACAGACTATGGCCATAGGACAACTAATCGATAGTTGAGACAATAGTGTCAGGGCATGATAAATCTGATGCAATGATGGGTGATCAATATTTTTCAAGGCCAAACAAATGTCATCATATACCTCAAAAATAAATTTATATTACTGCACACCAGTGCAAATGACCTAATCTGAGAAAAAAATAGAAATTGATTAGTCACTCCAGTGCATCTAAAACTATATGTTGAAAGAAAGAAAACAAAGTGGTTGTTTCAATTAATTTGTACAAGGGTGTAATTGTCACATATCTGATAAATTAATAAGATTTTGTCAATTTTGACATTGATGCTATAAAATCTTAATCTTAAAAAAAAGGTTGATGCTATAAATTCGTATTTTTAAAACCTTAAACTGACCTAACTCCATAAATTTCGGTAAATCCCTGTCATGTAAAAATGAGGTTGACCCATCCAACCCTTAACTATTACATATATTTGAATGACTCCATGTTAGAAAAAAAAAACAATAATATTATTCTGCTGCACTTTTAGTTGCAACAGAGAGATGTATCATCTGACAAAAGTGTCAGACATAAAGCAACAAGTGTTTGCTTGCACATACCTTGTGTACAAGGATGGTACCACAAAGACCACGCCTGCCTGGTTTGGCCTCCTTGCCACTCATACAGCACTCAGCTACAACTACAGTCTCCATTTTGTAACCTGCATTTTTTGCTCGTTCTATGGCAACCCCAAAGTTTAAGCGATCACCAGTGTAATTCTTTACTATCACCAAAACTCCTGCCATTTTGAAAAAAAAAAAAAAAAAAGCAACACTTCATTAGGACAGAAAAAATAACTTTAAAAGGTTGATTTTCTCCACAGGAAGCTAAATCTACTTGGAAAGTCTGGTTTTACACAATCTCTTTGGCTTCAATCTCTCTCTTGTGAGGCGACAAGTTGCAGCATCCTGAAGAAGACTGAGAAAAGGTAAAGTTGCAATTGTTCCTTTTTTATAGCACTGGTAACCAGTATTGTACGTCTAGTTTATTTTTTCGTTTTGTGTTATCAATGGGAATTTGAATATCGCTATACCTTTCTACTGTATTGTTTTTCGAGGCTCCGCTACTTAATTTCAGTCAACATGGTCATTTTCTTTTGCCATAGCCGGATATGACAACACAACTGCAAAATTCAAATGCGCTATCTCTGGCTTCAATCTCTCTCTTATGAGGCAACAAGTTGAAACACCCTGAAGAAGATTAATTATAGGTAAGGTTGCAATTTTTTCTTCTTTATAGCACTGGTGGCCAGTCTTGTAAGTCTAGTTATTTTTTTTTTGGCGTTATCAGTGGGAATTTAAATATCACCACACAAGGTAACAGCTTTCAGAACAATTAAATAAATTAATGAATTTTTTTCTGTGTTCTTGA